TGTGAGGGATAAAACTCACATTTTAATTTAGGTTAGGTTAAGATTGGAGACAAGGTAAGCGTGGGCTGAATCCTGTAAGAACTTGAAGAAAGAATGTGATTGTATTGATGTTTTTGGTAAAGAGATGATTACAGATGATTAATAAGATGATTCTGATGATTACAAAGAATTATGAGAACGTTTTGTGAACTAAACATGTGTAAATCGTAGAATGAATGAATGGAGCCCCAGAGAGCTTTTCTCTGATCTCCTCCTTCTCCTTAAATAGCTCTCAGCCACGTTTGAAGGATCCTAACCAGCCTCCGAGATTTGTTCCGTGAGTTGGGGGATTCTCAACAGTCTCCTTTTGACCGGGTCCTGCGCAACCAGCGTGAGCTACTCCTGTTAGCTCCTTGTAAATGAGGTCCGGAGCTCTCCCGTTAGCTCCTTGTAAATGAGGTCCGGAGCTCTCATCCGTGACCTGTTTATAAATGAGGTCCGGAGCTCTCCTCCGTGACCTGTTTTGTTGACGTTCCTTCCTTAGCAAAAACAGCCTCCGGCTTCTTTTTGACTCTTTTCTCAAAAGATTAATTGCCAATGGGCTTACAGTGGCCCATAGTCAACTCTTATCGTTCTAGCCCATTAGTCTCAGCTAGCGGGCCATATTTGGGCNGTTTATAAATGAGGTCCGGAGCTCTCCTCCGTGACCTGTTTTGTTGACGTTCCTTCCTTAGCAAAAACAGCCTCCGGCTTCTTTTTGACTCTTTTCTCAAAAGATTAATTGCCAATGGGCTTACAGTGGCCCATAGTCAACTCTTATCGTTCTAGCCCATTAGTCTCAGCTAGCGGGCCATATTTGGGCCCAACAGTTGTCTTGCGAGAAACCCCTTATCCCTATAGGACCAGCTAACTCAACCGATGTGGAACTCATGGTGAGTGACTTACTCTGTCCTCTCTCTAACCAATGGGACAAAGATAAAATCAGAGAGTTCATCCCTCAGTATGAGGAGTATATCATGCGCATCATAACAAGCTCTGCTCCTGCGTCTGATCACCTAGCTTGGCTCCCGGAAAAGAATGGTATTTATTCAACCAAAACTGGTTATGGGTTAGCGAGGACAAGTGACTTGAACGAGCTAGTACCTCCTGCTTCTTTCGATTGGAATAAGAAGATATGGAACCTCAAAACATCACCAAAAATTAAGGATTTTCTCTGGAAATTGGTGAGAAAAGCTATTCCGGTGAGCTCTAACCTCGCGAGCCGAGGGATTCCGATGTTCAACTGTAAGAAATGTGATGTGTTTGAAGATGATCTACATGTATTTTTGCATTGTAGTATTGCTGAACAGGTATGGAGTACGGCCCCTTATGCTTCCATACCAGACGCTGCGTTACCCTCCATGGAGGCTCTGATTTCTTGGGCGTCCTCTCTTGTCGTTTTACCACCAGTTGGCCTCACTGTTCCGTTGTGGCCGTGGCTTCTATGGAATCTCTGGAAGGCTAGGAATAAACTTTGCTTTGAGAATAAAGCTTTTAGTAGTACGGAGATCTTGACTAAGTCCATTTTGGATGCAAAAGAATGGCAAGCGGCGCAGAAGATAGCACCTAGTAGCGATGCCCCTGTTTCTCCTTCTTCTGGTCTCCGCTGCGTACAGCAGACACCTCGAGCTGATCCCCACACTGTCGTCTGCAACGTGGATGCGGCGTGGGATAGTCGCACTGGGAACTGCGGCATCGGCGGCGTTTTCTCAGGTTGGTCTCCACGGCCACACCTTGTTCCCATCTGCGAATCCCGCAGACATGTCTCATCGGCGTTAATGGCTGAAGCCCTCGCCATCCGTTCGGCAGTTATGTATGCTGCTTCCTCGAATGTTAAATCCCTTATGATCTTGTCTGATTCCTCATCCTTGGTGAAGCTGGTGAAAGGAAAAAAATCAGCTCCAGCATTATTTGGCGTTTTATTCGATATCTACCATTTTAGTTCTTCCTTTGATGTAGTCTCTTTTGCTTCTGTACCACGTTTGAGGAATGTTCTGGCTGACTCGGTGGCAAAGTCAGCTCTAGCATTGCTTAACTCGTCCTCCGATAATGGAGTGTAGCACGTTTATTATGAATGAAAATTAGTACTTGACCAAAAAAAAAAAAGAAAAACAATAATATTTTCTAAGGTGTGACACGGAGAAACTGTTTTACATACTTTTCTCCACAGGTTGATACAAAAAGAACTCACTAATCAGAAGTTTATATTTTACATGAGATAGAACTCCATTGATGCAGTCATGCAGACGAAATAAGACCCTCTAGCTCCGCAAGCGACTTCTCGAATTTCAACTAGTATCAAAGAGAGTCCTTACTGGATCAAAACAATTTCTCTAATATACATTCATTGTTTTAAGGATACGTAAGTGCATTGCACTAAATAGTAGCTTTGATTTTGTAACGTGTTGTATATGTAACATGTCTTTGACTCCGTGTACTTCTCACCAGCTCTTGCATACACCGTATGCGTCTTCTACTATTCCAGTTTTAATTAAAGCGCTAACAAATGCAGGTATGCCCTTCCTTCTTCATTTTCAAGAAGGGCTTAAGCCCTTTCTCAATCATCTTGGTCTTGAAATATAGTTTAAGCATCTGCGTCACTGCGTGTACGTAACAACACATTCGGAGTGCAACCTCTAGAAATTCGGAGTGCAACCTCATTTCTAGAGCTAGTGAAACCAACTCTCCTTGGTTTACTGAGATCGTCGAAGAAGAATGGAAACGTGGGAAACACGGAATTTAACATACAATACTTGAAACTTCTATAAATTAGTAATGTTGGAACTACACCAAAACTATATTTTTTTATTAATTTATCGATATACTAATTAAACCAAAAATTCAATTTGAGAATATAAAATTATATTATTTTATAGAGATATTTAGTATATATTAATTTATAGAGTATTAGTTTAAAGATGTTATATTGTATACGGGAAAAAAAAGAATTGTCAAACAAAGACGTTTCATTATTCAACCATATCATTAGAAACATCTCTCTAAAATTCCTACTGACATAATAACATGTAATAAACTAATTTAATGTAAACAAAATCTTCTTTAATTATGGGATTCCGGTACAAGTGATTGACCAGAGAGTTCACCAAACCGGCCTTCTTTGTTTCTCATAAGCTCACCAAAAGAAATACAACTCTCTGTTTGGTTATTATTATGTCTCCTCGTAACCTTAATCTTAACATGATCCGGTAATCTCAACGTATACCGATTTTCTTCCTCCGGTTTATTCCTCACTATCGAATGACCCGTCGTCTTCGATCTCGAGAATTTATCTGGTAAAGGCTCTGTCTTATCACTACTACTGCTCTGTCTCGACAACGAAACCTCGTTCGATGTCGAAGGTTGCTCGTTATTCCCGTTGCTGTTTTCGTGTATGACTTCTATGATGAGCTCTTTGATGTTTTCAGGTGCGTTAGGATCTAAATTTCTACGACAAACAGGGCATGTTTTGTTAGATACGAGCCATCTATCGATACATTCTTGATGGAAAACATGGTAACATGTTGTAAGAAGTCGTAGGAGGATGTGTTCTTCTTCGAATTCGAGAAGACAAATCGCGCATTCGAGTCCTTGGTTATCTTCTCTAAGATCTTTCACCGAGGAGAATGGAAATAACGGGAAGGATTGGATGATATGCGGCTCTAAACCGGGGTTAACCGGTGGTTGACCGGCGTTTTCTTGTTGTGACTGGTTTTGAGTTTCGGGTGATCCGTTGCCGTAATGGCGATCCCAAGCCTGTGAGACAGAGTGGAACAAACATTTGCAGAAATAGAGAGCGCAGAAACCGATGAAGAAGACGACGAGGAGGATCACGGTTAGGATTATAAAGAGTGGTGGTTTAGTGAACTGATGTGGTGGTTGAGATCGAAGAGTTGTGTTTGTTCCGAGCGGTTTGGTTATCGGCATTGAAGGAAAGGAAAAAAAAAAGTGTCGGAGAATATTGATGTATCTCCGATTCAATGATTGTGGAATGTTTTCTTTTTGGTTTCTTGGTTTATATTTTGTTTTTGGTTTTTGTTTTGAAAGAAAGGTGGTAGTGTGTTGTTGAGTTTTTGTGTATGGTGAGTGTGTTCAGGATGTGTTTACTTAATTTAGAAATGAGTTTTGTTAGTTGTTTTTGTGTGTGTGTGATTGGTTTAACTTGCATTTGAACGAGTCTTTAGTTATATTGTCTTGGTGATTAAACCACCTCATCTACTTAAGTCTTTATTCTAAAAAGTGGAAAAGGTTGGCTTAAAGCTCAAGTAATTATTTTTATTAGCATTTTAGAAGTTTAAAATAATAGATGAACAACATATTAAGATGCATACACAATAACTACCAGCGTACATAATAACTTCAGATGAAACGCAACCGAGAGAAGAAATCTTCTTATATATTAAAACAGAAGTTATCATGTGTTATTTTTTTTTAAATGGACTATTACTAGAAAGTCATGTTACATTAATTCTCTAATAATCTTATCATTATTCTATTTTATGAAAATTCATATCTATAATAACAAAGATCTTATATATTAAAACAGAAGTTATCATGTGTTATTTTTTTTTAAATGGACTATTACTAGAAAGTCATGTTACATTAATTCTCTAATAATCTTATCATTATTCTATTTTATGAAAATTCATATCTATAATAACAAAGATACGCTTAACAATTTGGTTTTAGTAAATTACCCCATACCTTCCAACTTAGTCACGCAAAATATGTCAATAGATATAAGTTTAGGAATCTTCTATTATTTATAAGGAAATATGTCAATAATAGTTAAATACATCCACAATATATTAACAAAATCACAGATTTGTAATATGGAATATTTATATACCCTAACAAAATTTACACGCTATATATATTAGATAAATTTATTTCGATGTAAATTTTTAAAATTATATTATTTTAAAAAAAGAAATTGTTTAAAAAATTCTTTTAATAAAATTCTTTATAATATTAATTTATAAAGCTATAAGTTTAGTTTTTAGCAAAATTTCTTCTAAGTATATATTATCTTTGCAAATTAAAGTATATTAATATTTAATCAAGCTCTATTTATATTACTTTATCTAAAACTTAAATACTAATCTAACAAACAATATAGAAATTTGAAACAATCTATTTGATTAAAACATGTATTATATAATATTATTTTGTTTGAAAAAAAATTAATATACATATCGTAAATATGTGATTACTATAATGTATACCAATTTACAAGTGAAAACAAAAAGTTTTATATAACTAACGATAAACGAAAACAAGCACCCGCGCGGTTGCGCGGGTCAAAATCTAGTACTCTATTAAAATAGAGTCATTCCTTTTATCTACTGATACAAGTTGTCATTTAAATTTGGACTATTTCTATAGTGTTACAAATAATACAAATCATATAGTTAATTGAACCAGATTACTTAAATTAAACCGGTGGTTATTTATGGGATATAATCTTGGTCTTACTTTTGTTTTTAGAACAAATTGTATGGTTAGTTTTTGGGCTTAGTATTAAGGAAAAACTTCAAAAAATATTTAATAAACTTTCCACCTTAATGAATCAAAAAATCAATTATTATTTTCAGGCCCAAAAGGTATTTAATACTGGGAAATTGTCAAAAATAACACTTTCAAGATACCACTTTTCAAATTTACACTAACCAACTTTACTATTAAAATTTTAATAGTCAAAATACTATTACAATTTTAGGGTTTTGGGTTTAGGATTGATAGTTTAGGGTTTAGTGTTGATTTTTTAGGGTTTAGGGTTTACTTTTTAGGGTTTAGAGTTTAGGGTTTAAAGTTTAGAATTGATGTTTTAGGATTTAGGTTAATATTTTATCTAATATTTATTTTATGTATATATATAAAAAACAAGGATATCAGAGTCTTCTATACTTTAATAAAATGTGTATTTTTCAAAATGTTCATTTGTTAATGGTAAACATGAAAAGTGGTACTACCAAAATGGTATAATTGAAATTCTCCCTTTAATATTTTTAACAAAAGAAAATTGTCTAATTATTAACCATTTATTTAAATCATGTACTTTAAAACATGTTAATGCATTTTTCATTTTAAATAACAATCACTTTGTTTTGATAAATTTCAATGGTAACTTTTAAATAATTTATTGTTTTATTTTTCTTAATAATTTACTGATTTAAAAAAAAATGTAAAGCAAAACCAAAAACCAAATCTAAAAACTAAAATCCAAAACCAAAAGCTGAAAACGCAGATTATATTTTTTGCTTTTGTTTCTTTACAAAATAAACTATTGCAATTTTTTTTTTAAAAAAAATTCATCTTTTCAGTTTTAAATTAGATGTTCGATTATTTGAGAATTGTTTGTTATATCAGTTCAAACTAACTCAGCGGGTGTAAAAAAATGAAAAACCCAAACCAAAAGCTGAAAATCAAAAATAGAAACTTAAAAACTAAAATCCGAAATCTAAAACAAAATCTAAAAACTAAAACTAAAACTAAAAACTAATGAAAAACAATCATCACCACAAATTTTGGTGAAGTGATTTTATACCAAAACATTCTTTAAATTAAGATAAAATCCAACTATATCAATTTTTAATTATAAAAAATAAAGCGCGGTCAAAATCTAGTGAAAGCTTAAAAAAGAGTAAGGTGATAACATAACCGCAGCTATTCGACTGGCTCGGTAGTGCAGCGAGCCAGTGGCAGTGAGCTAGCATCATCAGGTTCGAGTTCGAATAGTGTTTGCGCCGAATAAAGTGTGTGTTGCACTATGTAATAGACCTTCTCTCGTAATGAGAGTGAGTCATTCTCGACCATTAAACTTACTTCACCCAAATAAGGTATTCTAAAATACCTTTCTCCCCTTTTTTAAAAATAACTGTAATTTTTCTTTACTTTATATACAAACAAACTCTACGACAGTGTTTCAAACAAAAAAAAAACTCTACGACAAGTACAGACAGATTCGGAAAAGATAAGAAAATCATTGATGGCTGACTTTTCCTTTTTAATCATGAGGCGTATTGAGAAGCCAATCGGCAAGTTACCATTAAACCATATACAATGGTTTACATAATTCAACACTTTTCTTGTTCTTTTTTACTTTCCAGGTTTACAGCCATATCGGATAGGATGAAATCTTGTGAAGATGAACATGATCGTTTAACTTCTCCATTTATGCGATACTTGCACCCCTTAGCTGCCCAGATGAGTGCTTTGCAACAGGAAGTTGACACCATTCAATATGAACTCGACTTTCACCTAGCAGGTTCGACATCGATCGATATACACCTTGCAAAATCGATCAAAGCCAAGAAACTACCAGCGTTGAAACTCTATACCAGAGCAGAAGTTGATCAAGTCATTGATAGAATCTACAAAGCTCTGAGTACTACTGAGGACAAACTTGACAAGAGATGTGATGACATATACTTTCCATTCGACAACAGCATCAGTAGATTACCTTCAGAAACACAGTGGCTGCATAAGAAAGTAAAATCAATTCAGAAATGGCTCGCATGTCATCCTGCAACATCAACATCGATCGACAGGAACAACTGCAAATCAGTCGACAGATCTACACCAGAAACGATCGACGCAACAACAGTCGCGGCGATCGATCGTATGGGCTAACCAAGACATGCTTCACTTTGGCTTGAAAAGAACACTCAAATGGGTTGAAAATGTGTTGATTTTGTTTGGGGAAGAAGGGAGTTTACATGTTTGGTTGGAAACTTTTCCTAAAATAACCAATTGAAGCTGGTGGTGGCAGATCTATTAGAGAACACTAATTTCTGAAAAATTGATTCCACTCGAATTTTTTGAGAAATTCTTTGATTTTCCTGGTAATGCTATTCTACCAGGCATGGTTTTGGAAAGATATCACCCTTTTCCCTCGAAAAAGCTCAGATGATCCCTCAACCATGGTGATTATCTAAAGATGGCAAATAGGTTGTTCCGTCTTATTCCATTCCGAACCGCAGCAAAATTTTCTTCAAGCAGGTCACAGTGGGTTAGGTCTGCACGTACGGGCTGTGGTCTCCAGAATGACTGCCAAATCCATCCCTCTATATGTATAAGTCTTTGTAGATCGGTCTGGGGGACATGTGATAGTACACGTAGCTGAATGCTTTAGGCCGCTGCAAAACGCTTCAGGCCACTCTGGGACATCATGTTCAAGTCGTCGATTCAATGGGACATGATTCATCAGTCATTGATTTGCTTATTTTTTATTCAAAACAATAGTTGTAGTTATTTTTGTCACACTCAAAACATATTAACATACCAAGTAAAGATACTTGCAGAATAAATTTTTCATCAGCTTATAACTCATAAGTTTATAACCAATGTTTTAGTTTGCTGAATTCAAAAATTAAATAAAACCAAACACCAAATGAAAATTGTCAATCCTAAATTAAATAAAAGGAGAAATCCAAATCAAAACACCACCAGTGCTTGAATCATCATCGCCAGAGATGGAGTCGTCATCGCGGAAGCTCGAATCATCATCCCCAAAGCTCGAATCATCATCGCCGAGCTTCTTACATTTTCTCGGGGAAAGTCACATGAATCGCCTTCTTCTCACTCTCTATCTCGTTTTTTTCAGGTAAAACAAGAAATTACAAAATATGCGGGTCCTTGTAATCCCGCATGACCCGTTTCGGCCCATCTCGCAAACGACCCAGTCCCGCAAAAATCCGTCCAGTGAAGCCCGTAAATTTGTGGATCTAAAAAACTTCATTCCAATACCGTCCAGTGACAATCTTTTATAGGTTAAGTCCGCGGTTCAGGTCCATGATTCTCATCTCCATGATTACATGTGGTGAGTTTTTCTCTGAAATCATTATAATAGAAAAAACAATAATCTATTGTATGTTGAAAATATAGCAATTGTTCAAATTGTTCACTAATATACAAACATATTCAATGTTTATATATATATATATATATATTATCTTCTTCTTTATTTTCAACTTATTTCATTAAATATTATTCTGCATTTACCTGACATCTGATTGATAACAATAAACTGATAAAAATAAGTGCAAAAAAGAAATACATAATCAAAAGGTAAGCAAAAAAATAAGAAAAAATAAGAAAAATAATAAGTTATATTTAGTTTTTGTTGTATTTATTTATATTCTAATTATTATATAGCCAACAATATAATAAAAAAGATTAAGATTAAATATTAAATAATTTTGTATACATAATATATACACATGAATGGTAACCATATCAACATATACAATGATAAAATTTTGAAAGATGCTCAAGTTAGAAATATATATGCATGAGAAAATGAGAAATATATGAGAGAATGAGAAATTTGAGCTCAGTTTTCCCAAAACTGAGATAAACACAAAGAAAGATAGAGAAAACACAACATGAACAAAGGAAGTGGAAAACTAACGAAAAGTAGAATGGTTCTCAGGTTACGAATAATTTCATCTCGTCCAACTTCTTCTTCTTTGAAATCGGCATGTCTTTCAATTTTGTAATGTGTCTGCCTAGCCTCAGTGTATTTAACTGGAGTAAACACACACTCTCGGGAACTAACTAAATTTTGCGACAGAAAACACAATTGTTTCTAGAGAGTTCGAATTTGGATAATTTAGAATAGGTAAAAAGAGATGGTAGTGAAAACAATCATAATAAAAAAAAACAATAATTTAGTGTATGTTATATATATATTTTTTATTTTCAACTTATTTCATTAAATATTTTTCGGTGCTTACATGACATCTGATTGATAACAATAAATGTATGAAAATAAGTGAAAATAAAGAAATACATAATCAAAAGGTAAGTAAAAAAAAAGCAAAATAATAAGTTATGTTCAGTTTTTTTGTTTTATTTATTTATATTTTAATTATTAAATAGCCAATATTATAATAATAAGATATTTCAAAATTTAAAGCTAAATAATTTTTCATACATAATTTATACACTTGATAGGTAACCATATCAACATATAATGATAACATTATGAAAGACGTTCAAAATCGTAAACTAAAAAGGAAAAGTCATATCTCAAAGAACATAATAAATACTTAAAAGTAAAAAAAAAAATACTAAATTTAAGTTTTTTTTATCAACCAATATATTTAATAAACTAAAGAATAAAAATATTTTAATTATCAGAAATTAATAGCTTTAATGAACTAAAACTATTATATATAGTTACATAACTAAGATAACATAAGTTGAGATATTTTAATAACTAAATATACAATACTATCTCATTATTAAAAATGATTTTTTTCTTTATATTTTAGTAATTTCAAATTTTATTTATAGTATTTTTTTAAGTAAATAAAAATATTTAAAAATTATAATAGATTGTATGTTTGGTTTGATTACTCAACTTCAAACTTATCAATGCTTTCTTTATCTTCTTTTCTGTTTTTATTTTTCAAAAAAAAAAATATTGATCCTATTATCTATAGATTTTAACAAATCTTAATCTAAGCAACCAAAAAGATATTAGCCTTACTATAATAATTAACAACATTTTATTAGAATAAATAACAAAACCAGTATTAGTATATCTAAAAAATAATTGAGTTTAATACAAAAAAATTCTTACAATCTAATACACATAATAAAAATAACCAAACTAATTATGTATGATTACCAACTGACTAGATATTCTACATAAAATCACATGTCCAACTAAAATAAAATGATGCATTTACATTGTAAAATAATTTTAATGTAGTTTAGATATTGATTAGTTATTATAGTTATCTACTTGGTAAATATTTATATAAGTCAATGAACACAGTAAAATCAGCTAGTATGATTGTAAATTCTCACACTAAACTGAAAACAACATAACCAAAGGCATAAGTAATAATACTTTAATAAATGTAGCACAAGCTGCAGTATTCTTTCTTGTCTCATGGTATGAACTTTGTGTGAATGTGTCACAAACCAGAGTTCGCAATGAATCGATTGCATATGAGTTGACGCTTTGATGATGGTGGTGAAAGTAATACGAGAATCATTCACAACTGAGGTACTTTTCCTTTTTAATCACAAGGCGTATTGAGAAGTCACTTGGCAACTTACCGTTAGACCATATATAATAGTTTACATACTAGGTAATAATCCGCATACTAGGTAATAATCCGTGGAATAAGATTATTACTTTTGTTATTTTTAAGATAAAATGATATTATGTCTGTTTATTATGAATATTGGTTCAGTTTTACGTTGTTTTTTTAAATCTCCTAAAATATAACTATCATTCTAAATGTATATTTATTTTGGTTTGTTTGGTTTAAAGGTTTGATGTTTTTGATTTTTTCGATGATAACCAAAAATTATTGTTATTTGTTTGGTTTCGTTTTATATAAATTTTAAACATTTTTGATGTCGAACTAATAGTTTCCTATTATAATTTCCAAAGACATGTAAAATCAAATAAAAGCTAAATAATATTTGAAAAAAAAATTATGAACATAAAACATTTCGCTACAATCTGAGCGATAGTGAAATAAAACATTTAAAAAAAATTAACTTCAATAAGAATTAAAATGTTCACTTGTGGTGAATATTTAGTTATATAGTATCTCAAATGTGTACATGTATGCATATGTAAAAGTATATAAATGTGATGATAAATATATGAATATACTGTTAATTAAGATTTAAAATATTTTTATTCAAAATAAAATATGATTTAAAAATAAAATATGATTTAAAAGGGATTTCAACATTTTTTAAAAACTTTCGACATATTCTTTTATCCACCTAACTCTTGATACAGATGACAAAATGGATCCCTTTTCTTTTCTCTCAATAAATTGAATAAATTCAACTTGTGTGAAACCATGTCATTATTCTTTCAAATTCAAAAATAAAGATGAACTGAGTTTTGTAGTGAAGAGAAGAAAACGAATTAAATGTAAAGACATAAGAAATCATATTAACACAAGATATCTCTAATGGACAAAAACATAGAGGACGAGGTATAACAGATATTAACTCTTATATCTTGTTTTGCATTAAGGAACAAAAGCTAGAAGCCATGAACGTCCCCGTCTGATGTCACTGAAGCTGAACTGTGATTTTTAGGTTCAGCATCTGATCTCATATGATCCCGCTTTCGTTATGTATCGAACCCACTCAACCGTGTTGTAACCGCTCTTCTCCCACACCTATCAAACATTCCGGTTACGAGTCAAATTCAAGGAAACAGTGAAGTTTTGATAACCAAGTAACGAGTTCAATCTTTCTCAAGACCAGAAGCAAACCCTTATAAACATAAAAGATCTGAAATGGGTTTCAACGTCACACATAAGTTGGAGATTCCGATACTTAGCATCACATGTTTGGTCCTAGAAACGTATAGAAATCAAAACGTACCTTGAGGAACCGTACTCGCAAACCAGATGCTGTGAACATTGGCACCTATAAATAGCACGACGCTCAGATGGTTAAACTAACAATCACCTTTAGCAATCTGGTTCTAATTAACAGTGCCAACAAGAGAAGAAGAATGACCTGAAACTCCATTTGGATTGGTGGCCTTGTCCACGATTTCTTATCTCCCATTGTTGAGATCAATTCAATTTCTGCACTCAGTGTGGACTCTGTTTGTCCTGGAAACTTTCTTATCCTAAACAGTAAAAGAGAGAAAGCAAATTATTGATAACAACACCAACCGATAGAACCACAGGGAAGCTTCCTAAGAGTTTATAAAAAACTCACTTCCAAACCAAGCAATCGATTGATGGATTGTACTTAGCGCGACCAGTTGTCACTTGGAAGTTGGTTTTTGCTGTTTGTTTTGGCACTGGAATTTTAACTACAACGCCAAGGGCAAACATTTTAGCGCCAAACACACTTTTGACCTGAATATACAAAACACAAAACTGGAATGTAAAAAAATAGATCAAACTGCTTTTTTTGTTCTTAGTGTTTTGAGAAGTTAAGTTACTTACTTTGACATTTACTTCCATGCGTGTACGACCAAGCTCTTTGATTGTAGGTAAAACGCGGAACGGTAGATTCACGCCCTCTGTAATCCGATACCTGTATCCATTATCAAGTCAGTAGTCAGTACACTTTTGGTACCAGAACAATATGCAATAAGAAACACTCCAAAACTTACTTCATCAGTTCAAATTCACCATCCGGTGGAACAAAACTAACAGTCTTCTCGGAGTTGAATCTTGTAAGGTTCACACACTGGTGAAAAGTGACATCATCAAGCTCAATGGTTTTGCCACTGCACCAGCAAGAGTGAATCAGTGAGTACCAATAAACGTTATTGGCTAGCGTGCATCACCGATTTGGCAGAACCTACCTCTTAGCTGGACGAGATTTCATTTCCGATTCCTTCTCAAGACCAATTTTATCATTCAACCCCAACTTCAGATCAGGCATTCCCGAAAGGAAGCATTTCATTAGAACTTTCCCCGTCACATCACACCGAAGAACATTGCCTAACAGATGCGATAATGTACCAAAAAATAACCATACTAAGGATACATAGATAATCAGGAAAAAAGAAACCTTGAAAGAAGAAACAATTATCTACCTTTAGAGGACATAAGAAGGTTTACGCTTTCCACAATATCCAGAAACACCTGCATTAGTGAATTCATAATATTATCAATACTTCCGCACAGCCTAGCAAATTGTATAGAGACAGAAAGACAGTCAACACTGACCTCATTCTTTTTATAAGAAAGGCCCTCTCTTCTCCAACCAACAGCACCCGTAACTTGTAATGTTGCATTTGGAACAGGCTTGTCCTTCGGCTATAATTAAAAAAAAAAAAGGAGGCTTGAAAAACAAAACGAATGAAGTAAAGAAGCAACAAAAAAACTGCATTTAGTGCACTTACCTTGGAAGAAAAAGGTGAGCGTACACCTTCTTGAGTAATGTAAAGCTTTAAAATCTCAGGGGAGAGATTCTGTGGATAGCCAAAGTCCATGATCTCTGCAAATCCCATACATAAATATTTATCACTGCTTTAGTCTTTTTCCAAGAAACAGAGCAGGACATACATAAACCACTATCAGGATTACTTACTTACCATCCAACAATTCGTAAATGAGAACAAAGTTATTCTTAATAGCGTCTTCATCAAAAGCTCCACCAAAGTATGATTTAAACAAAGCAACAGCCTGAAAATGAATCATGAGAAGTAGTAACACAAGTCAGATGTGTACACAGAATCAATCTTAAAATTTCAACAAAGACCAAAAAGTAAAAAAAGAAAACTTTCATTACCTCAACAACGAATTTGAAACCACAAGCTACATTAGCATTGCTACTAACAACAATTACAATGTAGACATTGCTGATACGCATATAGACGAAAGAGCATCCACCAATCTGACGAACGGGACAGTTACCTAGCTCCTTGGTTTGCATTATATGCGTTCGAAATGCATCCACCATGTTTCCCCTAAATTAAACCAAAATGAAGAATCTCAAATCCTAAATGCTAAAATTCTACGAAATGGTTTAACTACTTAGAAGTGATAAGAGCTGGAAATGTTAAGGGAGAAGGTATCTCTAACCCGACGTCGTCTCGGTAAGTGCGGTTGATGAGAACATCGCCGCGGAGATTGAGAAAGTAGATGGCGGAAGCTGCCACCGGCATCTTCTTTGATCTAATCAATTCTCTATTACAGATTTGAATAGACGAGCTGGTTTCGAGCGATTTGAGATTAATTCGTGTTTTTGTTTTGTTGACGGGATCTCTCTGTCTCGGAGGAATGAGCAGAAAGACGAAACTGAACAAGAAAAAAATCGTTGTATTAAAATGGGCCGGTCTAATTCGATTATTGTCTGTTAATTATTATTCCTGGGCTGAGAGAATACAAATGAGACAGTCTGGTTTGCTTCTGGTCTGTTGTACGCTTAAACCTTGATTGTTTTTCCTTTCTATAGAGTCCCATAAAGTGAGATTTCTTAACGTTGTGGTAATAATAGTCGTAATTTACACATATGTCAGTAACCTTATTGCGTTTAAAAAAAAAGGATCAGCAAAGAGTTGACCATGATATGTAGCCTAGTCAGTTTGTAGTTTGAAATAGTCTGTTAGTGTGTTATTATCAGAATTCAAGTTTGGTAGACTATGTGTTACAAGTTGCTGGTATAGAAATAAATATTTGGTAGTTTTGTAAGTTTGTTGTTTTGCTGTTGTGGTTTTAATTAGAGAAATTGTAGTGCATATACAAGCATAACATGTATATTGCACGGATGGAATTTCCTCTTTACAAGTGACGTTTTTTTTTTTAATGACAACATTACCCCTATTCATCATATGCTGAAACTTAATAATACTATACATTTTTGAAACTCTACTGCACGTGAAGAAAGAGAGAGAACTCTCTCATTACTAGATACACGAGCTTTTGATAAATCAATTCATCTCTCTCTAACCCTTTGTTTTCTCCGCAGATTCAACATTTTCCTCTCACTGAATTTCTTTGTTTTCTCCGATAAAACCATAGTTGTCAAAGAATCACATACCTCTCTCATTCTATTTGTGTTTCTCCCACGGATCCCTGGTACTATATCAGCTTTTTATACATTAGTCTCACTTTATTTGATAGTTCTTTTTCCTTTGTCAGTCTTTTCATTTTTTTTTCTCTTTTTGAATCTCTTTCACCTATTGGACTTTTACATACTTCATACATTGTTCAAATTCAGGTCTTGATTCTATCCAAGTTCTAGTTGGAAATTATGGATAACAGGGAGTTACCATTTTGGATTTTTACTGCCAGCGAGAAACCCATTGGTTTGAAAGTCTCTCCATATCACAAACCAGGAGATCTTAAGCACATTTTAGACACTCTGGATGCAGACAAAATCGATGTTATAAAGAGATCATCTTTTGGGAAGTTTTAAGAGCTAGCTGACCAGTCAATCTTTCCTATTCATCTCATGTCCAATTTTCAGCTTGTGCTTTGGACATTGAATAACCAATGGAGAACATTGATTTTCCATGTTAGTTTTCACGGTTGGCAATGAAATCATTGAGTTAAGCCAGCCCACACAAGGACTTTGGATGCATCCGATAGTGTAAGTATCTAAATATTCGACTAACTAGTTAGCAATTTTAGCTACCGGCTAACAAGACCAGTAGACATGAAATTTATTAAATATCCGGCTAACTAGAAACATTATTTGTTTCTAGGTACATGTTACATCTATGACTCCTGTTGACATAGACTTTGAACTTGATGAAGGGGAGTCATGTTTCTATGACGTGGAACATGTAGCATCACTTGGCATGAGAAGATCAAAGGAAATATTGACAGGTTGGAAGGCAAGGTTGATGAACTGCGCAATACACTTAGACATGAAATTTATTAAATATCCGGCTAACTTGAAACAAGACCAGTAGACATGAAATTTATTAAATATCCGGCTAACTAGAAACATTATTTTTTTGTAGGTACATGTTACATCTATGACTCCTGCTGACATAGACTTTGAACTTGATGAAGGGGAGTCGTGTTTCTCTGACGTGGAACATGTAGCCTCACTTGTGCATGAGAAGATCAAAGGAAATATTGACAGGTTGGAAGGCAAGGTTGATGAACTGCGCGATACGCTTAGTCAGCTGCATGGCGTCATAAAGAATCATATTTCTGACAACTCGTATCATTAGCTTGCCTTACATCTCAGTTACAAGAACAAGAAGATATTAGATTCAGTTTGTAAGTTCAACTAAGTTGGTTACGTGTAATGCAATGCTACAACTTATCTAACTATCAGGTGTTTTCTAATCGACTATAAGTTGTGAAGTCATAAACAAGTTGCATACCCTCCATATAATAGTTTAATTATCCGGATATTCGAATATATATTTGTATACTAGAAACTTAATTAGCCATAATTCAAATTTATGGTTATATGTTTAGGTAGCCACACATTTGTGTAGATTACTATACTTAAAACGATATGTTATATATTGAATAACCATTTACAATTAGAAATAACCGACCACTGACTTAAATGATCATCAACTATTTAAAATAACTGAATAATTGGCAGGTTATTTAGATATATCAATATGGACACGTATGTGTTATATTATTACTGATAAAATATAACCGACTACTAACTTAAATAACCAGAAACTAGTGGAGATAACTAAATAATATATATATTAATTTAGATAACCGGATAATAACCAACAACCAGTTTTTTTTTTTTGAAACACAACCAACAACCACTTTTGTCTAAGACTTTTCTTTCCTTAACTTCCTTCACTCCAGTCATGAACTCGCTCAAATCCGACACTGTATTAGATGACTCGGTTCACCAAAGTCACAAAAGGAAGATGAGAACCTTAGAGAATTGATTCGTTTTTTTATTGTTAATTTGTTATCTTTAGGATCAACCCTTGCATGTGAAAAAACAAAATGGCCACTCGGTTCTTCCAAAAACCTGCCCACATGCCACCATATAATCAAATCCAAAACTAACATGTTTTCATGCATGTGACCATAGACAAAAAAACTTGCTTTTACACCTCAAATATGAAAGACAAAAGTTCTTAGACCAAACTGAGAAAAAAACTTGAAATTTACAACATAAATTGAGATTTGGATATGTAAAGAAGAAAGGAGAAAGAAGATTGCGAAAGGGATAAAGAAGAGAGAGAGAGAGTCATGATTATCATCATGAATATCTTGTAGGCTCCATACGTAGAGAAAAAAAAAGCATAGGATCCTCAGCGTCATTTTACATGGTCAGAAGTTGGGCTTTGCATTTGGGCATGTGTATTTTCCATGTGTGCAAATTAATGAATCTTTTTAGTATTTGTATGCGAATCGCTCTTTTAATTATGGATGACATACATACATGTTTAGGTAGAATGTTGTTTTGTTTTGATTAATCTCAATTATTCTGGAAAATAGTTGGAAACTTAAATCTAAAAAAGCTCGGAAGTGTGATGAGTAAAAATGACCACGCTGGTAAATTGGCAAAGACAGAAAGGTGAACTCGTTTTTATTGTTCGCTTCTTTAGAAAAGAAAACAAAATACAGGATATTATTTTATTTTATTTTATTTTATTTTATTTTATTTTATTTTATTTTATTTTATTTTATTTTATTTTATTTTATTTTATTTTATTTTATTTTATTTTATTTTATTTTATTTTATTTTATTTTATTTTATTTTATTTTATTTTATTTTATTTTATTACGGCGATCTTACTCCCTCCCTCCTTCATCCAAAAGTTTTCAGGTTTCTGTAATTTTCGTTGCAGAAGAAGAAAAATAGCGAATCAATAGAAACAGATACTCTGGGTTTTGATATTGTTGGATCAAATAAGCGATTGCAGAAAGTAGAAACAACCGTTGGAGGAGAAGGAAAGTAATATTCGAAACCCTAATTTCGATTGTATCCCCCCCCCCCCCAACTTCTATCAAACCATCGATTGAAAAGAAAGCATCAACCTTTTCTGATTTAGTCTGATGGGTTTCATAAAAAAGTTAACGGGGATATTCGGGTTAGGGCATAACGATGGTGGCCACGGAGTTGAAGATTGTGCAGGAGATACTGCTAGAACAGTCTCCGGCAAACACCATGAAGATAATAATCAGGCGAGATTCCGTGAAACAGGACTTCCAAGGAAAGGTTTTGGAGTACCTGTTCAAGTCGCTGTTGAACGGTCCAATCCTGGTCCTGTTCTTCAGCCTTGTCCTGCTTCAGACGGTGTAGTTCAGGTTTGTCTCTTTCTTCTTTTTTTTTCATCCATAATGTTTGATTGTAAAGTCTTTAAAGAAATTGATTGCAATTTTGACTAGTTGCGGTAAAAAGCAAGCATTTTTAGTTTCACTCTACTAGGAACGTTATAGTCTAGAAAGCATAATTAATCTCATGTTTTAATGGTTTGGTAATCATCATGATTCATGAGGAGAGGATAGAGTCTTTAAGATGCTTGGGAATTTGATTCATATCAAGACTATTCAGTTCATCCTAAAGGGGTGATATGTATATCTTCCTCGAGTACAATAAGCGCGGCATCTCAGCATAGTTATTGATACAACTTAGATTAACCAAAAAAAGCTCTTGTTTGGATCAGGGACTAGGATGGTATTCAATGCGGCTAAGGATTGATGAAGACGGAGATGTTGCAGATGAGTTCGTGGAAGATCATAACTCTAAGACCAATACAAAATCTGCAAAAGTGAGAGGGTTAGTGATTTCTTCCGATGGGAAACTTCAGCCACTACTGCATTGAACCATGAACGAACGCCAAGGAGAATGATTTGCTGCTTAGTTTTGATTGAACCAGAGATAGTTGTTAGAATCTTTGTTCTATTTGACCGTTCTATCTCGACATTAATCGATTAGTTTCTGGTTGTTGATACTTCAGAACTAAAAATGTTATTTAACTGTGAATTATGTTTTGAAAATAGACAAGTGAATCTCTGTGGTGTTGTCTGAAAACGTGTGAGCAATTGTTCAAAGTATACAAGTATGTATGTGTGCAGGACCTCCTATTTAGCCTAATGTTATGTTTTGTTTACCCTCTGTAAATTCTTATTATGACGTATACCAAGAAGTGATGGCTAGTTTTTGGAGAAATATGTAAGTGTAAGAAACAGATCTTGTTTGAGATTCTGATGAGTAAATTGTAATTTATTTTGAAAATAAAGAAAATATAGTCAACAAATTATTAGTTTTTGACAACAAATGTACAACGTTAATTTAATTGAAAATATTAACTAGTCTTGCAACTACACAGCTGACAAAAAGAGCTGCACAAAAAGAACTACTTCTAAACGAGATGTTTTATATTGAGTGAGCATTACATGCTTAAAGATCAGCTTTGATATTAGGTGATATTATTTGTTTGATACATAATTCTGACTCTAATTAGTAGAAATGAATTTTCAAGGCCAACTGACCAAAAAAACCCATCTAGTTTAGACGAAAGCTGTTGAATATTTAGGTTAGACCAAAGCTGTTGAATGTGTAATGAAGAGGAAACAAAAACAACTATGCATGAGCAATGCCCGGCTTAAATATTTATACACTGGAAGCAATTAATAAAAAAAATATCTATTGTTGTTAGTAGGAATTAAACCTATTACCTAGGTCTCTATTTAATTTTCATTAACAACTAAACTACTTAATGTTTATCAAGTATTTTGGTCGATATTTTATATAAAAAAAAAAAGAAAAAAATTGGAAGCCTATGCTTCTTTGGCTTCTCTTCAGGGCCACTATTGATGAGCAGAAATTTGAGATATCAAATCTAAACTGTGATTCTATGTTGATATGCCACAACGACAGCTTTGGACATTTGGAGCCTGGTTACAACATCCATCCCAACCCTGCTTCTGGCACTTTCAAAAGACCAAGTGACCATGTATTCCATTTGATACATGTATTGAGGAAATTTATCTTAATCCTTCTTCTAACGCAGTCACATACTACTTATTAATGTCATATAAGTCTCAAGAGCATCTGGCTCAAGAAAGAACAAAAATTATCAAAATGAATTATCACCATTAGTAAAACCGGTATAACAGGTATTCTCAAATTTTTTAGCTATTTTTGCGATTTTATTGATTTACCTGTTCGACTGAAGATATGGATGGACTGCGGGCTTGAATTAGATTTTAAAACATTGATATTAAATGAAATATGTTTCATATAGATAAATTTTTAAACATTAAAAAAAAAATTGTAATGTTGTTATTGAATTTTTGAATCACAAAATACTTTGAAAGTGTGAATCAAAAATCTAATATTTTTTTTATGTCACAAATCTGGCTCCATCAAGATTTCAGCGTTGAAAGAATACAATTTTGGAAAACTTCGTACAATAATGAAAACTAGATCTTGATCCGCGCACCGGCGCGGATTTAACTTAATTTAGGAAAGCATAATATACTCATAAGTCATTGGTTATTACCGTATTTTAGAAACTGTGATCGTATTGAATATAATAGGACTGGGGTTTGATTTTGGGTTCAACTTTTTTTGAATTCTTTATATTCGTAGTTTTTTTAGTTCTACAGATATAAGATTTGTTCAATTATCTATATAAATTGATTTGTGTCCGGTTCGATTCTTTTGGTTTGAGCTGGATTTGGTAACAATTATAATAACCGATTAATATCAGATAAATTTTTGGTTCCAATATGATAACGGTTTGGTTACGATTTCTAGGGTTAATTTTAGATTAATCGGGGTTAAACTGATTTTGGGAGAGGAGAGGTGTTTCGGATAAATATCCAGTTACGTAAACAAAATTTTAATATTTTAATTAAAACTATTCAAGTATTTTATGTCTTTATGATAATTTGAATAATGTAAAATACTTTTGATAAAAAATATTTGAGTATTAAATTATTTGAAATGTAAATTGTTATTATGTTAAAAACTAATGTTATTTTTAATTTAGTCAACAACAAATAAAATTGAGTATGATCTTTATATAAAATATAAATTAAAAACACAAATTACTACAATGGGTCAAATGATTAAAGTCAACTACATCAGAAAATAAATTAAATAAAATCCCAATTCTATTATAACAATGTTTAAAAGCTCAACTATATTAAACTTATAGTCAAACAACAATAAACTCTTTATTACTACTATTTAAGTTTCCAAAAAAAACTAAAAGGTACTACAGTTTTAATAAGATAGATATTTTTATTTTGGACATTCTTAGATGCAATGAAAACATATCAATACTATTAAAACAGAAGCACTTTTTATCTATTTGCAAGTAGTCTACCTCAAAACATTACATTTATTTAATTTTATGTTATGTTGCATACAAAAAACTTAGTTATTATTAAATAAACACATAATATTAATATAATATTTAAATATATTCAAAATAAGATATCAAAAAGATACTTTTAAATAATTTTTCATATTACATTTAACAATATCTTTAATATATTTTTATTTTTAAAATAGATATTTATTGTGTTAATATAATTTTAGTAATAAAAACGTAAAATAATATAAAATTAAATTACAAATGAATATCAACTCATTTTTTATGGAATAAGAAATAACCTTCTATAAAATTTACATATAAATATTTCATATTTGTAATCAAAAATTACACAAAATTATAATTATAATATAAATTAATCTACTTTATAAATTATAAACTAAATGAATTACATTTACAGAATAACAAAATACTACCATAAGATACTTAAAAAAGAAATAATTTTATATTTTAATATACGTAGCTAAATTAAAACATTAGGATATAAAAATATAATATTTAACTATATGTAACTGATACACAAAATAATAATAAACAAATTCTTCAAACCTCCGTCAACACATAAAAATATAATTATCATAGATAAAGTATTAAAATCGTTTATATCTATATATATATATTATTTTTTATAAAATAAATATTAATAATAGCTACTATTAATATTCAATTATATGATGAAACCTGTTATCATTGATATTTTTATGATTATAATTTTACGGGTTGTTCCAATAAACAGAAAAAAATATTTTACAAAAATAAATAATTTAACAAATATAAAACATAATTTAAGTTATGCTTGGGAGTTCAAGTACCTATTGAAATATGGGTCGGATATTTTGAATCAAAGCTAATTTATATCACATCATGTGTGTCATAATTTGTAAGTAGACATGTTTGTAAGTATGGATCAGATTCAAATATAACATGTCAGGTTTGGTTCTAATTTGTACACATCCTAAAACCGATAAAGTAACCATATATCGTTCGGATTCGGGATATATTGGTTGGGAAATCTAAAATTAAAAAAAAAGATACTTATTTTTATAGAATTAGATATTAAAGTACTTATTTAAAATTTAGATAATTAATTTTAAATATCATTTTAAAATAAATATAGAACTGAATATTTAAAATAGATATTTATATTTCAAATATTTATATTTATGATTAATTTGGACATTCAGATCGATTCAGATTTTTTTCAGGTTTTTCGTTTTTTTGTTATTCGTTTGGGTCTGGCTAATAACACTTTGATTCGGATATATTTGTACCACTCTACAAAACTCATTCTGATATATTTTAGATTTTCGACAGCTGTGGATCCAATTTTTTTTTTTGTTTAGATTGAGTTTAGACGTCGAGTTATGGATTTTATGCACATGTCTACTTTATATATAAAAAAAATATGGTCATATAAAATTTTCACTGAAAGATTATCCTGCATTTTTAAAAAATACTATGATTTATGAAATTAATAAAATAAACAAGTCTATCTCACATTCTACATATATAGAAACTGTGATTATATAAAGTTTGTATCAAGCATAAACCCGCGCTTTGAAAGCGTGAGTCAAAACCTAGTATTATTGATATGTTGCATATTTACTTGGTTTAAACCTTGCATTCTTGTTCATGTTGAGCATATAGATTAGATTTAGGCATTCTTAGGTTGCATTTTACATTCATTTGTCTTATTCAGGTGGTGGAACATGCTATGGAGTTCTTGGAGGTGTTTGGGATCAATTATGTGCCAAAAGAGAGTGCAAAGATTTCATTTGGCGAGCCAGAGCATCCACAGCGGAGTCAGGGGGTCGCTCCACGCCCACAGCGGAGTCACGCAGCGGAGTCGGGGGGTCGCTCCACGCCCACAGCGGACCCCCGGGGCGGAGTCAGGGCGTCGCTCGCGTTCAATAGAAAAGAAGAGCGCCACAGCGGGGTCTTGGCAGCGGGGTCGGGAGGTCGCTCCACGCCCACAGCGGACCCCCGGGGCGGAGTCAGGGCGTCGCTCGCGTTCGAGAGAAAAGAAAGAGGCTTCACAGCGGGGTTGTGACCCCGCTGCGCGCCTATGTTTGGTCGAAAATAATGTGTTTCGAGGACCTTTTTGCAATTTCGTTTTTTATGTTTTGTGTTGGAAAAACCTAAGTTTAAGTATGTTGTAAGCCTCCAGAGGCAAAGAATCTTTTGTTCTTGAAGAAAACTTCTTTTGATTCAAAATTTCATTGCTTTCATCTTGTGTTCTTGTTGATTTCTTGTCTATTTCTCTACATGATTAATCTGAAATCCAATATGGGTTTAAGAGGAATCATGGAGATTAGTGAGTAATCACCTTTTGAATTCATGGGTT